AGTCCTCGTGGCTTTTTCTGGTGTATTTATGTTTGTGTGAGTTTACCAAGCTATAACTGGGCTGTGATTTTAGCATCAGGTTTTTAGGGAAGCTCATCACAGCAATGTGTAATAAAAACATGATTGCTTAGCTTTAACATGTCAAAAAGACTCATTTAAAATCTCATATTGGAGATACGGGGATCTAGAAAATAAGTGAGACTTGCATGGGGAGGGAATATTGAGTAATGGACCCACAGCTCTAATTGAGGGTAAAGATATCTTCCATTTCAGATCTGAGGAAGTGGTTTATCTGCCTGAACAATTGTTATTCTCTCCCATGCACTGAATTGGTTGGTCTGGCAGAAGTCAGCACTTGCCTGGGTAGATGCATGTGAAAAATTCAGCCACTTGGCCATCCTGTGCATTGTGCAAGTTATGTGATATATCAACTGCTTAAGTATTGATCCTGTTTCCATCTTTTTTTTTAATAAAGCTCCTTTCTAAAAAGCTCCAGCATTTCTGGTCTCAAGGTTTTCGTGAAGCATACAGGTATTTTTCCCCTGTACCCCAGTCTGTAAGTAAATGATACTTCTCTCAACTTCCTCCACATGTTGTCTCCACCTTCTGTGTCACATTCCTGTTAGAAATAACTGCTTTATTGAATCCTAGAAGCAGATGCCCCCTGCATTTCTGTGTTATATAGAAGTTGGGGTCTGACAGGTTAATGTGTAGTCCTGACCTTCTGGGAGCAAGAAATTGAGGTGGAAGTAGGGAAAACATCTGTGTCCCTATAGCTAACCCCACCTTTCCCTATAGAGCTACCCCCACTTTCTTGTCTGAATATAGAACAGCCGTGTACATCTCCTCCCGTCCCGCAGGAGGCCAGGAAAGTAGCAGACAGACGTGCAAAGGATTATTATATTTGATCAGGCTTTGAAATGGGCTGTAGATAAAGCCCTTGATGTTTACTGGGCCATTAAACATTTATTAGCCTCTATCCCACTGTGTTGGTAACACTGTAAATAACAGCTGTGATTAAAATGAAGAGCGGGGTCAGCAGTTGCCTTTTGCACCGGTGTTTGTAAATAGAGAAGGAGGTTGTGTAATTTTTAAGAGACTGGTTGGGTGAAGCATCAACCCCAATGCCTTGGAGAGAAGGGGCAGATGAGCTGGCAGACAGGAGTTCCTCTTTATCACAAGGAAATGCTGAAATCTTAGGAAGTGGGAGAATTTAAACAACAATGAAAAAAGATTAGAGCCTGAGTTAGGAGTTAATTTATCCCTGCCCTTCCTAACAAAAATACTTAATGCCCTCGGATCAGAATGGCTTTGGGATCTGGATTTAATTAGGTTGAAGGAGGGTTCGTGTCTCTCCCCCCACACTGCCCCAAATAACTCCCCGGCTGCCCCCATGCTCAGCCACGCGTGCCGGCCTCAGTGAGTCTGTGGTTTTCACTTGTCGGCATTTCCATCCTCAGACTTTTATTTCCCTTTCACCCCCTCCCCAAGCTTTCACAGTGAGAGGAGAAGCGTTGCCGCAGGGCTGAGACTTGGCTCGTGGGGTCTGAGCTGCAGCACCTGGTCGGATGATAGGGGTTTTTGAAAGGAGGAATATGAAGGGATTAGTCTGTATTGCTGGGAGGCCACAGCCTGGTGATTCATGCCGCAGGCAATCCTTCTGAAGTCAATGAGATTGTAAAGCGTGTAAATCAGTATGGAATTCAGCATTTTCCTAGAAAAGCGGGGGATATTTGTTTTACTTGCATATAAATTACTTCTAATAAGACTCTATAGATATGACTGATCCCTCTAATCACACTGTTGCTCCATACAGTCATAAAGTTACTCTTGCTATCTTCTCATTTTAAATAATTGTTTAAAAAAAAAAAAAAATCACATGCGTGGGAAATACCTGTGGTTGCTGCCAGGCTGCGAAGCGTTACTGGGAATGACTCGGGCAGGAGCGTGTCCTCGTGCGCTTGGGAGCTGCGGTGTGAATGGAGAAAGGAGACGGTCTTGTTTTGACACTCTCTCATTTTGAGCCTTTGACGTATTCCTGTTCCACCATTTAGATGTTGTCAGGCTGAGGGATAATTAGAGGGAGCCTGTTTTGCTACAAAGCCGAATTGGGAATCCACATTGCCGCGAGCAAGCCTGGGTTATTTGTTGGTGAATGCAAAGTGGAAGAGTGGGCGTCCAAACTGCACCACGAGGGAGAAGATGCTCTGCTGCTTCTTCCCTGTGTCTGTAGAATATATCTTCTTTCCACAACAAGTTAAAATAAATAAATTGCTCTTCCCATTCAGTGGCCAGCAGGTCAAGGGGGGGATTCTCCCCCTCTGCTCTGTTCTGGGAGACCCCCCTGCAGGGCTGAGTCCAGCTCTGGGGGCACCAACAGCAGAAGGACACGGACCTGCTGGAGCGGGGCCAGAGGAGGCCATGGAGATGCTCGGGGAGCTGGAGCCCCCACTGTGAGGACAGGCTGAGAGAGCTGGGGGGTTCAGCTGGAGAAGAGAAGGCTCCGGGGAGACCTTAGAGCGGCCCCCCAGGGCTGAAAGGGGCTGCAGGAACAGGGGAGGGACTCGTCATCAGGGGGAGGGATAGGATGAGGGGGAACGGGGTTAAACTGACGGAGGGGAGATTTAGATCAGATCTAAGGCAGAAATTGTTCCCTGTGAGGGGGGGTGAGTCCCTGGCACAGGCTGCCCAGAGAAGCTGTGGCTGCCCCCTCCCTGGAAGGGTTCGAGGCCAGGTTGGACGGGGCTTTGGGCAACCTGGGCTGGTGGAAGGTGGCCCTGCCCGGGGGAGGGAGGTGGGACTGGATGGGCTTTAAGGTCCCTTCCAACCCAAACTATTCTATGGTTCTGTGATTTATCAAATGCCAGTATTAAAGCTGTCATGGCAATACTTTCAGTTGTAGCAGGGATATTGGTTCTTTCAGTGGTGCTCTGCAGCCTGGCAGTGTCTGTCAGCTACACCAAGATGCTCGGGGGCAAAGCTGGGAGCTGCTGTTGGAGCTCCCAGGCTCATCGTTTGTGCTGCTGGCTTTGCTGCCTGGGTGCGGGTGGGTGGTTTGGGTGCTGTGCACAGCAGCTCACTCTATGAGAGAGGGGTTTTAACAAAGCTTTATAACAAAGAGCATCAGCTTTTCACTTTCTCCATTTGAGAAGGATGTTGAATTTTGCCAAGGTGTTCTAACATCATAGGTGCTTGTAGCTATTTGAGACTTGTCTTACCTTATAAAAATGCATCTTGCCTGTTTATATGTTGTGCAGCATGTGGAAAGCATGAGGATCTTTGGTTGAAAATGAAATTTAAAGCTGGAAGAAGTCCTATGAAAAGTAACTGAGAAACTGAATATATATATAATTGAATCTCAACAGGCTGGAGCGATGGGCTGAGGCCAACTGGGGGAGTTTCACTGAGGGCAAATGCCGGGGGCTGCCCTTGGGCCACAACAACCCCCAGGGGGGCTACAGGCCTGGGGAGGAGTGGCTGGAGAGCTGCCGGTCAGAGAGGGACTGGGGGGTGAGAATGAGCCAGAGTGTGCCCAGGGGGCCAAGGAGGGCAACGGCATCCTGGCTGGTGTCAGCCCTGGCGTGGCCAGCAGGGCCAGGGAAGGGATCTGAGCCCTGGGCTCGGCACTGGGGAGGCCGCCCCTCGCTGAGGGGGTTCAGTTCTGGGCCCCTCACCCCAAAAAGGCCATTGAGTGACTCGAGCGTGGCCAGAGAAGGGCAACGGAGCTGGGGCAGGGTCTGGAGCACAGGTCTGCTGGGGAGCGGCTGGGGGAACTGGGGGGGTTCAGTCTGGAGAAGAGGAGGCTGAGGGGAGACCTCCTGGCCCTCGGCAACTCCCTGCCAGGAGGGGGCAGAGAGGGGGGATGAGTCTCTGGAGCCAAGGCCCCAGCGCCAGGCCCCGAGGGAATGGCCTCAAGCTGCCCAGGGCAGGGTCAGGCTGGCTCTGAGGAAGGATTTCTGTGCAGAAGGGGCTGTTGGGCGTTGGAATGGGCTGCCCAGGGCAGGGGGGAGTCCCCAGGATCCCTGGAGGGGTTGAAGAGTCGGGCTGAGCCAGCGCTGAGGGATCTGGGGGAGTTGGGAACGGTCAGGGGGAGGGTCATGGTGGGGCTGGAGGAGCTGTAAGGGCTTTTCCAACCCAGATGATTCTGTTAATATGTGAATAATTGAGAAAATTAGCAGGTCCCATTAAGCTGGTTGCCAAGGAACTAATTCACTTCTTGTGTCTTCCCCAACTTGAAGAAATAGCTGTTGCTTTCCTCCCCTGCTTACTAACATACCCACAGCTCCAGAAGAGCCTCCTCTCTGCTCCTGTAGACAGTCTAGCTGATACATGCCTAATTCCACCTTGGAGCCATTTTTGTGAGCGGAGCGTAGCTTTGAAGGCATCTTCTCCTGTGTCAGGCCTCCAGAAGGGTTTGTGCAATTCAGAGGTTTGTCCCCTTTTTCCCCTGGTGCTAGCTGGCCTAACAAGTTCCCTGCTCCTGCCCACAAACGTTGCCTTCTCTAGAAAGGAGAAAATAAGGTTATTTTTAAGGCAACAGTCTAGATTTGGGTGTAAAATCTGGCACAAATTGAGTTCTTTCCAGCTTCAGGCAAAGTGACGCATGTTCCTTGTCCTCTCTGCAAAACAGAACAGTTTAAGACTATTTTTTTTGTTGTTGTTCATTAGGCTCGTGCTTTATTAGCAGACTGTGTAGCCTTGGCTTACTCCCTAAATTGCCTGAGCCATGATCTTCAGTTGTCGTCTTGACCGTCTCCATTCCTTCCCCAGGCTGGTATACCTCCAGCTGTGTTTGTAAAGCTTTGATAAACTTATTTTATGTGGAGACTACGTTAGTGGCTGGGTCAGTCTCAGTTACATGGCACAGTCCCAGTCATCCACAGCAAAATTCAAGCAGTTGGCGAAGTAAAAAGGCTGTTTGCTTAATACGTCTGATCCGCGTGAAACAACTCACTCGTCTTGGCACAAGCCATTAACTGGGTGTTTCTCTCTTACAGAGCGCATCGAGAATAATCATCAGTCTTAATAAGGATTGATTGTGTACTACCCATCGTCGTCCCGGTTTGATATTAATCGGAAAGAGCTTCTTAACCGTCGCATTGGGGAGGTGAAAAGTTGGATGAGCGTCCCTTTTAAGGTATATGGAAACATTGATGAGATATTTGGGGTATGAGACTGGTACTGCTGTAGCCTGTGCAGGAGAACAGCACCTCTGAAGGTTTCATATAAAAATTCTTCGAACTCTTTGCAAAGCTCCGAAGGGAGTTGCTGAGTGTACAGCTTTCTCATGGGTTCACATCTCTCAGTCTTGCAACATCTACGTGGTGAAACCTGCGCTTCGTCGTTCCCCTGTTTGATCTTAATGAGCGTGGTCTTTGTAGACTGGGGGGGTTGCCTTTGTTTTGATGGAAACTTTCATGAATCCGGTATTTTCTCTCTGTTTACTTGAAAGACTCTTTCATTTTTGAAACTTCAGATTTGTGTTGCAAGGCATACAGAGTTTGAGTATCAGTATTAGCACTATTTTGAAGAGGGTTTTTCTTAAGGCTTTTTTTTTCTTGGTTATACAAACCAGTGTAAGACTGAAATATTCTGACCTCTGCTCTTACCTTGGCACAGATGGACACATAATTCTGGTGTGAGTAATTTATTAAGGAAGGGGAAAGAAAAAAATCGCTTTTTTTTGAGGAAAGGAAGGTCATGAAGTAAGAAGGAATGTTACTCAGAACATTAGTGAATTAAAAACAACATCCAGCAGGGAGTTTTTGGGCAGTTGTTCTGATAGAAGTTCTTCCCATGGTATGACTTGAGGAAAAGGTTGAGGAATGCTTGTTAAAAAAAAATAAAAATCTCACTGTAAGATTTCCTGTTCAATATTTCAGAGGATTCATTCCAACCAAAATGGATTTGATGCTAGGATGGTGTTGCTAGAGTAGCAAATTGAGATGGGCATGTGAAACCTGGTGATTTTTATAAGCAAGGTCTTTTTTTAAAGCCTTTCTTGTTGCTGTGCCTTTCACAGGTTCACCCTGTCTGGAGATGAAGTTTGTATATGTGGTTTGATATTTCCTTAATGCTTTCACGTAGGGTCCTGCTGACACTGCGTGCTTCACAAACTTGACCAATTTATGGTTTCATATAAAAATTCTTTGAACTCTTTGCAAACCCGGTGTGATGCCTCTGTGCCAAACTGAAGTCAATCGTAACTTTTATGGATGACTAAATGCTTCCCTTTGTATTTGTGTGATACTTAGCAATGATTTTCAGACCTGTTAGTGTACGTGTGTGTATGTATGTACTTAACTGAATTTCATGTTGTGTTTTGCTACGTGTATTTTTTAGTCTGCTTGGCTTACTTTTTGATTTGGGTCAAACTCCTTTTGAGGTCAACAGCTGAATTAATGCCGCTGAGTTACTGAGAAGTGGCCAACTGTACGAGAGGGGCTATGTCTTTGGTGCTTGCTTTCTCCAGAGCTGATCCAACAAAAGATCAAAAAGATTAAGTTCAGTGAGACTGAAGTCACCAAAGAAACTTGCCTGTGATGCAGACCGTAAATGTTAATAGCCTAAACTCTGCTTATTATTCAGTTCTTGCTTGCATAAGAAGAGCCTTTTTAAAGAAGTAAGAGACTGATGAGTATGTTTCAGTATCTGCCAGAATAACACAGATCCTATTGTAATCCAGTGAATATGTAGGACAAAGATGCTGCCTGCACTCAGGTAGTAGCTTTCTCAAAAAAGCCTGTGGTCTGGATGTGCCTGTCAAGGCTTCTTGGCTGTTTGGGCTTGAAAGCTGGCAATTCAGTGGCCAGCTGGAATACTAAAACTTCTTGGATCTGCAGGATGCACCTGAAATCACGTGTAGTGGCCGTGGGCTGGTGCTTCGCCGTGGCCAGTGCTGGCTGATGTG